AGATCGTGTGCACCTTCTCGGGCCATCACGGCCCCATCTACGCTCTCCAGAGGAACCCCTTCTACCCCAAGAACTTCCTAACAGTGGGTGACTGGACAGCCCGCATCTGGTCTGAAGACAGCCGGGAGTCATCCATCATGTGGACCAAGTAAGAGGGGATGCTGGGTACGGGAGGGGCTGTACACAGAGAGGAGGGGACAGAGTGGGCCCAACTGGGCCCCAAAGAGTCCTGAGCCTCCATACGTCCATCTGTAAAATGGAGAAAGAAAACGCTCCACAAACACCCGAGCCTGCGTTAGCAAGTGACTTGCTCCAGCCACTCCAGAACGGGATAGGCTTCAAACCACTCAATTGCTAAAAATAATGGCCATTACTTTAATGAAACAGGCTTAATTTTCTTTCCTTTTTTTCTTTTTTTGAGACAGATTCTCACTCTTGGCCCCAGGCTCCGTGCAGTGGTGTGATCTCGGCTCACCGCAGCCTCCGCCTCCCGGGTTCAAGCGATTCTCCTGCCTCAGCCTCCCTAGTAGCTGGGACTACAGGCACCTGCCACCACACCCAGCTAATTTTTGTATTTTTAGTAGAGTCAGGGTTTCGCCATGTTGGCCAGGCTGGTCTCGAACTCCTGACCTCAGGTGATCTGCTGACCTTGGCCTCTCGAAGTGGCGGGATTACAGGTGTGAGCCACCACACCCTTTCTTTAGTCTTGATTGTTTCTCCCACTGTGGCCTGGCTGTCAACACACTCGGTTGCAAAGGTGACCGGGAAATGTAGTCTCTGCCTTGCCCACCAGGGGCCCAGCTACAACTACATTGCAATGAAGGAAGGGAGACGAGGTTTTGGTGAAAATCTGAAGGCTCCATTGTGTGTGCACATGTGTGTGTCTCTTTTTAAAAAACTTCCCATCTTCACTGAAGAAACTCTTGAAAATCCGGGTGAAACCAAGCAGGAAGTGACACTCTCCTGATCTCAGTATTAGCAGCTTTTCTGGGCGTGTCCTCCGTCTGACGCCCATCTGTGAGTCCCAGGGTGGGACCGGGTCCACTAACATGCGCCTGCCACCTGGAGTTAGTAGCAGAGAAGCGCCAGTGGCCAGCCCATGGGAAGGACGGTGCCCAGAGCCCTTTATTTAGTTTATTTGAGACAGGGTCTCACTCTGTTGCCCAGGCTGGAGTGCAGTGGCACAAACGTGGCTCACTGCAGCCTCGACCTCCTGGGCTCAAGCGATTCTCCCATCTCAGCCTCCCAAGGAGCTGGGACCACAGGTGGTCGCCACCACACCCAGCTAATTTTTAAAAATTTTTTTGTAGAGACAGAGTCTTGCCACATTGTCCAGGCTGGTCTCAAAATCCTGGCTTCAAGTCATCCTCCCACCTTGGGCTCCCAAAGTGTTGGGATTACAGACATGAGCCACTGCCCATGACCAGCCCAGAACCCTTTAAAGAGCAGACTGTTGGACACCTGAGGTCAGGAGTTCGAAACCAGTCTGGCCAACATGGTGAAATCCCGTCTCTACTAAAAATAAAATTAGCCGGGTGTGGTGGCGGGTGCCTGTAATCCCAGTTACTCAGGAGGCTGAGAAAAGAGAATCACTTGAACCCGGAAGGCAGAGGTTGCAGTGAGCCAAGATCACCCCATTGTACTCCAGCCTGGGTGACAGAGTGAGGCTCTATCTCAAAAAAAAAAAAAAAAAGAAAAGAAAAGAAAAAAGAGTAGCCTGTGAGCTGTGGGTGGGTGAGGTCAGCCCAGCCAGAAGTCAGACACAAGGAAGAACTTCCTGCCTCAAAAGACTCTTGAGACCCTGGAGCCCAGAAGGGACCGAGTGAGCCAAGTTGTGGCTCAGAAGCCTCTCTGTCCCCCCAGCCATCATGTGGGCTGCCTCCCACAGGTACCACATGGCTTACCTCACCGACGCTGCGTGGAGCCCTGTGAGGCCAGCCGTTTTCTTCACCACCAAGATGGATGGGACCCTGGACATCTGGGACTTTGTGTTCAAGCAGTGCGACCCTGCCCTCAGTCTGAAGGTCATCCGCACGTCCCTTCCTGTGCATCTGGGTCCTCCAGGAGCCAGGCCTTGGCGTGGGTGTGTGTGTGGGGTGCTGTGGGCACGTGTGCAATATGTGGCCAGGCGTGTTTGGGCCTCTGCGGGGGAGCTGCGTGCAGGCTGGCTGCAGCGATTGCTTTGGAGCATGTGCTCTGTAAGTGCCAGGTGCCTGGGGAGAGCCCCCACAGCATGTCCCGTCCCAACCTGACCTGGCCCCGCCACAGAGCAGGCTAGTCAGAAAAAGATGTCCCCTCACCCTCACCCCCTAGGACATGGGTGCACATTTTGGGGGAGGCAGTGTGGTGTCCTGAAGTGGGATCCGTAAATAGGGGTTGGTGTGTCAAAGGTTAAGGGATCGAGGGGACTTGGCACGCTCATGGTTCAACAGAACCACCCGGGGGAAATTTAACAAGAAATGAAAGCAGGTACCTGGCATCTCCTGCCTACAGGCAGAGCCCCTGGGCGTTGGCTGCTGGAGCGTCCCCTTCAGGTCAGGGTGGCCAGAGCTGAACCCTGCTGGCTGGGGCCATGGAAGGGTGGGGTGTGGGGAACCACAGGGGGACTGTGAGACGGAACTGAAGGGGTGGGTCGGGAGACGAGGCAGGGAAGCCAGGGGTCTTAACGGCCAGTCTCTGAGTTTGAACTTCATCCTGTGGGGCAGAGGCGTCTCTGAGGGTGTTTGAACAGGGCCAAGTGGCGGAGCCTCCCCAGGGCCAGTTACTCAGACACACGTAACTTTGCTCCTGTCTCTTCTGCCTGGGTCTGCCTGGCCCCTTCTGCAGGTGTGTGACGAGGCCCTCTTCTGCCTCCGGGTGCAGGACAATGGGTGTCTCATCGCCTGTGGCTCCCAGCTGGGGATGACCACCCTGCTGGAGGTCTCCAGTGGGCTCTCCACCCTCCAGAGGAACGAGAGGAACATAGCCTCCTCCGTAAGTCCCAGGCGCTTGGGGAGAACCCCTCTGGCACATTCCGACCTGGCCCCACCACAGAGCAAGCTAGTCAGAAAAATCAATGTCCCTTCCCCCCCATCCCTATGATATGGGTGCACATTTTGGGGGAGGCGGTGTCCCAAAGTGGGCTCCATAACTAGGTGTTGGTGTGTCAGTGTGCCCTTACTCAAATGCTGCAGAGCTAAGTGGCCTTCACTCCCTAGGATTCGGATTTTTAGCTGCAAATCAAAGAGGTATGACTTGGTCAGTTTGTCTATTTTCAAATAACACTTTTTTTTTTTTTCTGCAGAACCTTTCCAATGAAGGCTTAGTATTTTATTGTATTACATTGTATTTTAATTTAATTTAATTTTTTAAAATTTATTCATTTATTTTTGAGACAGAGTCTCACTGTGTTGCCCAGGCTGGAGTGCAGTGGCGTGATCTCGGCTCACCGCAATCTCTGCCTCCCGGGTTCAAGTGATTCTCCTGCCTCAGCCTCCTGAGTAGCTGGGATTACAGGTGCGCACCCCCGTGCCCAGCTAATTTTTGTATTTTTAGTAGAGACGTGGTCTCATCATGTTGGCCAGGCCGGTCTTGAACTCCTGGCCTCAAGATGGTCTGCCCACCTTGGCCTCTGACAGTGCTGGGATTACGGGCGTGAGCTATCGCGCCTGGCCTAATTATTTTATTTTATTTATTCTTATTGTATCTATTTTGTTTTATTTTGAGACTGGGTTTTGCTTTGTTGCCCAGGCTGGAGTGCAGTGGCACAATCATGGCCCATTGCAGACTCCATCTCCCAGGCTGAATTGGTCCTCCCACCTCAGCCTCTCAGATAGCTGGGATCACAGGCATGCACCACCATTCCTGACTCATTTTTTAATTTTTTTAGAGACAGGCTCTCCCTACATTTTCCAGGCTGATCTGAAACTCCAGGGCTCAAGCAGTCCTCCCACCTCAGCCTCCCAAAGTGCTAGGATTATAGGCATGAGCCACCGCATCCGGCCTGAAGGTTTAGAATGCCAAAAGAAAAGACAGATGGAAGGAGGCTTGAAGAGGGGACTGAGATCCGTTCCTACATCCCTTCCCAGTGGGCAGCCTGCAAGCAACTCCCCAGAACCACAGCGAACGCTGTGAAATTGAAAACCCTTAGTGCTGAGGCCGGGAGAGCCTCCTGGCTCTGCCTGAGACTGAGATCTTGCCATTGAGCTGGCCCTTGTTGGACCAAGGGCCGCCATATTTCATAGCTCCAAAGGGTGCTCTTCCTTCTGTGGTCAGGGAACTTGGTGCTGCTTGGCATTGAGTGACTCAGCGTCCCTGCTGCAGCCTTCCAACCCCAATATTCAGCCTTCCTTCCTTGACACCAGCCCTGGGTACAGACCTCTACAGGGACTGTGTGGAGACAGGAGAGTTCCACAGAAGCCCCATCTGGCCTCTGTCCCGGAGTCGCTTGCCGTCCCGCCCTCTCCCCACCGGGCTCTCTCTGTCCCTGTATGCCCAGATGTTTGAGCGTGAGACCCGGCGGGAGAAGATCCTGGAGGCCAGGCACCGGGAGATGCGGCTGAAGGAGAAGGGCAAGGCGGAGGGCAGGGATGAGGAGCAGAGGGACGAGGGGCTGGCCACAGACCTGGAGGCGCTGGTCAGCAAGGCAGAGGAAGAGTTTTTCGACATCATCTTCGCAGAGCTGAAGAAGCAGGAGGCAGATGCCATCAAGCCGAAGCCAATGCCTGTAGGGTCCTGGACCGGGGCTGGGTGGGTTGGGGACTGGATGGGAGTGGTGGCCCTTGGGTTCTGCTTCTGCTTGCTGACTTCCTGGGTGACCTCGAGCAAGTAGCCGTACCCACCGGACCTTAGGTTTTTTACCTGGCAAGTGGGAAGAATTATTTCCTTCCTTCCAAAGAATCCTAAGTCCCCAAACAGACTTCAGGCTCCCTACAGGCAGGAGCCACGCTCCATGCCTCCTGCTATCCTCCCCTCCCCCCATAGAGGGTACATCTTGAACATACATGTTGAGTGACTGAACAAGGGTCCTAGAGGTAAGTGAGCTGTCAGAGAGGAGGGGGCCTTGAGTCCCCTGGAGGGAGGGGCTATGACATTAGTGGTGTACATGTCATGCTGGCTTACCCAGGTCTGCTGCCAGGAGTGTGACCTGTGGTCAGCTCGTCTGTCCACAGCCCCGGCTCTACTGCACTTTCTAGCTGTATCACCTGAGCCGGCTTGGTTCACTTCTTGGTTCCTTAATTTCTCATCTGGAAAATGAGAGATGGCGCTATGAAGGTGGTGTCTGGCGACCTTCCAGGACCTCTTTTGTACCAGTGGACAGAGGAAGAAAAGACATCATCTGTCTGGGTCACTTCCTTTAGGCTCCACAGATAAGATGCCAAAATACGAAAGAGCCAAACAGCAGCATGGCAGGGAAAAGAAACAGCGAGTGCACACCAGGATTCACCCTTGCGGGCAAGACTGGCGGCAGACCTGGGGAGTGGGGGCGCTTGTTTAAAGAGTATGAATAATTTTAAAACAATGACAATAGAGCATTAGACCAAGTGTGGGGGGGCAGGGCCCAGTGTGCCTGCACAGAGCACCCACCCATGACGCCTGCTTGCAAGAAGAGCTGTATGGCAAGGTCCCGGTCCCTGACAGAGTGGACACGGCGAAGGATGGTGGTGAGAACACACAGAAGATAACTGATTCCATCTTGTGACTCCTTCCCTCTTCTGCCTCTCTCCTCCTGGCTCTAAGGAAAAGCTGTGGCTTCTGCAGGTGCATTTTGCATTTGAGGGTACTTGGTTGTGAGCTGTTTTCTTCCAACACTGGGTAATACAGGTGGGGCAGAGAGCTCCGTGCATTTCTGATGGAGGCAAGACTAGAATCCTGGATTCTGACCCTAGCCCAGGGCTCCTCCCACCCACCACGCCTGGCCTGTCCAGCCCTGCAGAAGGCAAAGATGACACTGGCCACCTTTTACAATGCAATGGTGGCTGGCAGGCAGCGTGCTTGGTGACATACACCCCAAAATGTACTCCTCACCATGGCTTGAACGTTCTACATGAAGAAGCTGAGCCTCGGAAGGGGTTTAGGTCCACAGAATTTGGCCCCTTCCTCTTCCCGTGTGCCACACACTTCCTGCCTCTCTCTCAGGAGAGGAGAAACCCTTGCCTCCTGGTAACCTCCTCTCCTCCATAGAGGGTACATCTTGAACATGCGTGTTAAAGATGGCCCAAAACGCGTTGGTCACAAAGTACCATGTGGTACTGAAGCCATTTTCCATAGGCTGAGTCCTTACGCCCACTGTTTCCAATCCTGGCCACAGCCCGGCAAAGTGTCCTGTCCTCTCTGTGGGTGAGGGAGCCAAGGAGACTGAGAAGCCAGGCATGGCAGAAGCCAGGCGTGTACCCGAGTCTGTCACACGCCCGCAGCTGTGTCTACCTACTGCACTGGCTGGGCCCTCTCTGGCCGCAGAGCTGGCACCATGGGTTCCAGGGTGCTCATCGACCCAGGCTTCAGCCATTTGGCTGCTTTGGGCATCGTGGGGTTCACATCCCAGGGGGGTGGGGAAGGCCTGCCCCTACCAACACCAACACTCCTGTGCTGTCTTTCCCCTGCAGCAGCAACCGAGTTCAGAGGAAGTCCAGGTGGCGCAGGAGGGAGAGGAAGCGACGGGGGAGAGAGTGGGTGACGAAGAGGAAGAAGACTTAGCCTAGAAGCCAGCCTTCGACTGCAGAGCTGTCCCTGTGTGCCTTCTCTTCCCACCTCTGTGATTGCCCTGCTCTCACTAGTGGGGAGCTGAGCACCCCCTTAAAGCAGCACTGGGTGGTGGGCGGGGAGCATCAGGCCCTGACACCCTACCCCCGACACAGCGCTGGCCCCCACTGACTCACTGGGCACTGAGTCCCAAGCCACCCCTTGGAGGGAAGGAAGGGGCAGGGCTTGTCTGGGAGCTGGCTGCCCCCTGGTCTCAGCCACCCTGAGCCCACCCCGAGGGCACCTTAGGCCCGGCCCTGGATGTTTCCTGGGATTCAGCTTCTCACAGGTTCCCCAGCAATCATTCTCATTTGCAACCTTGCAAACCCTCAACCACACTGGCACAGCCATGGCAGGGCCTCGGGAAGACCTTTGAGTGGGGGCAGGGGGATTTCCTCCCCATGATCAACCCTCCTTGAAACCCACAAATCAGGAACAAAAAGTCTGTCCACTTTGAAAATGCCTCACCAGGCAGCTTCCCGGGCATGGGTACACTTTGCCACTACAGAAGCCTCCGAGTGCGTGGGAGGGGACAGGTGGGATGAGCTTGGCTGTTCTGCCGCACCTGAATGCTTTCTGTTATCCTAATTCTTGTAAAGTTAAATGAACCATAACAATGCCACCAGTTAGTCTGTGTGATGCATCCCACACCCAGAACCTTCCACATCATCTCCTGTAATTCATTCACGACGTCCCCGGGACCCTGTGCTCCTACCATCTTTAACCTACACAGGAGGTTCCAGGAGTGGGACAGGGACTTGCCCTGTCTCAGAACTCGTGATGGGGCAGAGTGGGGATGGGAGCCCCCGCACAGTCTTCAGCAGGCCTCTCAGGGACTCCAGGGCGGGAAGTGGGCTGCCCTGGGGGTGCCCTGGAATCACAGCTCACCAGAGCAGGGAGTGACCACTGCCAGAGATGTTGGGAGGTCAAGAGGGCCTCTCAGTGCCAGGCTCGCACTGGGAAGGAACAATGCCCTGACTGTCATCAGCGTGTGGATGGCAGCTGACCCTGGCAGGGACCCAAAGTGCCCTTGAAAAATGCCTGTGTCAGTCAAGTGCTGTGGCTCATGCCTGTAATCTGAGCACTTTGGGAGGCCAAGACAGGAGGATCACTTTAACCCAGGAGTCAAGGAGGATCACTTGAGACCAGCCTGGGCAGCATAGTGAGACCCTAGCTCTAATTTAGCAAAAGAAAGAAAAATGCCCATGTTAAGAATCTTTTTGGCCGGGCGCAGTGGCTCACACCTGTAATCCCAGTACCCTGGGAGGCCAAGGTGAGAGGATCACTTGAGCCCAGGAGTTTGAGACCAGCGTGGGCAACATGGGGAAACCCCATCTCTATAAAAAATATAAAAATTAGCCTGGTATGGTGGTGCACCCCTGTAATCCCAGCCACTCGGGAGGCTGAGGTGGGAGGATCGCTTGAGCCCAGGAGCTGGAGACAACAGTGAGCCACGATCGCACCACTGCACTCCAGCCTGGTCAACAGCGTAAGACCCTGTCTCGAAGACAAAATAAAATGGTCAGGCATGGTGGCTCACACCTGAAGTCCCAGCACTTTGGGAGGCCCAGGCAGGTGGGTCACCTGAGGTCAAGAGTTCAAGACTAGCCTGGCCAACATGGTAAAACCCTATCCCTACTCAAATACAAAAGAAATTACCCAGGCATAGTGGTGCACCCCTGTAGTCCCAGCTACTTGGGAGGCTGAGGCAGAATAGCTTGAACCTGGGAGGCAGAGGTTGCAGTGAGCAGAGATGGTGCCATTGCACTCTAGCCTGGGTGATAAGAGCGAAACTCCATCCCAAAATAAATAAATAAATAAATGAATAAAATAAAATAATCTCCCTGAGGAGGGACCCGGGACCAGCTGGCCCTTGCACCCAAAGAGAAAAAATCAATGAGTTGTTGACTATAGCTAACCTTGACATAAACAATCATCTCAGGTTACGCTGAGTGCTTCATCTTCACAAGCGCCCCAGGAGTGATCTCACCATCTTCACTCCCCACGTTACAGATGTGGGAGGGGAGACAGAGGGAGGAACTTGCTGAGTGTAATGGGAGTGGGCAGCAGAGCTGAGACTGAAGCCCAGAGTCCCAGCCTTACAGCTTGTGCCAGGCACGCTGCACTCTGGGAACCTGGTAAGAAGTGTGGGCTGGCCCACTTCCACTCCCTGCCATTCCAGCATCAGACCGAGGGGGGCATGAGGGGGCAGCAGGCCCCTCGCTGCACAGGGGCACACGGAGCCCCAGTGCTGTCTTAAGGAGCTCCCCAGTCAGAGCAGCGATTCTCTACTGGAGAAGATTTTGCCCCCAACAGGATATCTGTCAATATCTGGGGACAACCGGTGAGGAGAGTGCTCCTGACATTGAGTGGGCAGAGGCAGGGACCCCGCTCAGCGTCCAGCACACAGGACTGCCCCCTGCAGTTTGGACAGTCCTGTCCGAATGAGTCACAGTGGAGAGGCCCAAGGTAGAGAAAAATCTGCCAAAATGTAGTGCTCCCAAGAGAAGGTGCGGACTTCGCAGCACTCACCTGGGCACGCCAAAGACCCCTGGGAGAGCCCGGCACTGTGAGCCGGAGGGCAGGGCGACCTTCTTTCACTCAATTGGAATTTTGGCCTTTGGCTTGTGCCTGCAAAAGGAGGCTGCCTGCTGGAGTCAGCAGGTCCCTCGGGCGTGCAGAGAGTGCCACTGGGCAGGCATAGCATTTGAGAAGTGGCCGTGGAAGCAGAGAGGAGAGCCTGCGAGTGGCACTTGGCAAAGGGTGGCATGAGCTTGGTGGGTGCGGTGCCAACGCTGCCGACCCCTATGATAACCTTCACTGACCTCTCACGCCGGCTTCACCGGGAATCTGTTTTTATTCCCTTCCAAAGGTGAGGTAAATCAAACCATGATGCATCACTGGAGAGCCAGAGGCAGCTGGAAAAACCCACCCTGCGGGTGTGGAGTGTGGACTGGGGCCACACTGGAGCCGGTTTGGGTTTTTTTTGTTTTCTTTTCTTTTCTTTTCTTTTCTTTTCTTTTCTTTTCTTTTCTTTTTGAGATGGAGTCTTGCTCTGTCACCCAGGCTGGAGTGCAGTCATGTGATCTCAGCGCAATGCAACCTCTGCCTCCCGAGTTCAAGCGATTCCCCTGCCTCAGCCTCCCGAGTAGCTGGGACTACAGGCATGCACCACCACACCCAGCTAATTTTTTGTATTTTAGTAGAGACGGGATTTCACCAAGTTGGCCAGGATGGTCTCGATCTCCTGACCTCATGATCCACCCACTTCAGCCTCCCAAAACTCTGGGATTACAGGCGTGAGCCATCGCGCCCAGCCTGGAGCCGGTTTCGGAAGTGCAGAAGCAGCAGCCAGACCCAAATGTCCACAGCACAGTAACATCCCTCCTGGCCATGCCATCCAGAAAAGGGGGACTTCTTTGGCCTCTTTTGCTCAGCTGACTTAATAAATGCACCGCCTAACCGAAGATGCTTCCACTATGACCACAACAGCCCAGTGGGCTCTTGGGAGAATCCCTTTCCCAGTTCCCTACCATGTGGCCACTGGGGACTGTAGGAGCCAGGGCAGGACTCTGAGGAGGCACCCTTGCCCTTCATCAGTAACAAAACTAAGTGTTCCCCGTGTCCCAGAGGTCCCTGAGCTGTTACTGATGCCCAAACGGGAGGCAAAGGTGGCTGCTGGCCTGACGCAGTGGCTCACACATGTAACCTCAGCAATTTGGGAGGCCAAGGCAGGAGGATCACTTGAGCCCAGGAGTTCAAGATCAGCCTGGGTAAACTAAGGAGACCCTATTTTTATATCATATATATATATATATATACACACACACATATACACATATATATACATATACACATACACACACATATGATAAATATATGTAAATTAATTAATTTTCCTACAGACTTTCCCTTTTGTTGCCCAGGCTACAGTGCAATGAACGGCATGATCTCGGCTCACTGTAACCTCCACCTCCTGGGCTCAAGTGATTCTCCTGCCTCAGCCTCCCAAGTAGCTGGGACTACAGGTGCCTTTCACCACACCCAGCTAATTTTGTATCATTAGTAAAGACAGAGTTTCACGATGTTAGCCAAGCTGGTCTCGAACCCCTGACCTCAAGTGATCCACCCGCCTAGGCCTCCCAAAGTGCTGGGATTACAGGCGTGAGCCGCCATGCCTGGCCTATTTAAAAAAAAATTTTTTTTAAGTGACTACTGATGGCCTACCAGGGTCAGCATCCAGAGCCCCCGGGCCAGCCCCGCTGTGTGCTAACATCCTGGGGGCACCTGCAGCTCTGTGTGCTGAGGTCCTGGGGGTGCCTGCAGTACGCTGTAGATAGAGGCAGCATTTTCAGGGCATTTCCAGGCAGGAGAGTCTGAACCCAGCTCAGGCGCTTGCCCTCGGGAAACATTGCCTACACTCAGCCCTGTGCCAGGCACTGGCCACAGGTAGAAAATAAACCAGACTCAGACCCCGCCTCCCAGAGCCTGCACACCAGTGGGAGACAGGGAAAGCTGATACACAGGCAGGTGCTTACAGAACCACAGTCATGCAAAGTCCATGTTAAGGAAGAGTACAGGGTGCCGTGAGAGGGATAACAGGAGGAACTAACCTAGACTCTAGAGGAGGAGGCGCTGGCCAGGAGGTCTCTGTGAGAAAGGGACAATGCAGCTGAGACCCTACAAACGAGCATGAGGCAGAGACGTGTGTACACGTGCGAGTGCATCTGTGTGCACGGGTGATGATGGGCACATCTGTGTGGAGGGGCACCCCAGGCAGGGCAGCTGCACACAGTGACCGGAGGAGGGAAGGAGGCGGTGCTGCTCTGTTTGACCAACAGGGAATCATCAGTGTGGCTGGAGTGAGCTAGTAAGGGCTGGAGCCTGAAGCGAGGAAGGGACAGCAAGAGTCAGCTGGGGCAGGCCTTGAGGTCAAGGGTTTTGACCTTGCTTTTTGCAAAGATCACTGCGAGGCAGGGGCATGGGTTGATGAAGCCTTTGCTGGTGGAGGGAGGTCTGGAGGGAGGCACCTGTGGGCCAGGTGGGGTCGTGTTGTGGTGTCAGGCAAGAGACATCAGCTTGGAGTGAGGCGATGGCCACGGAATTACTTACCTCCCTGCACCTCTGCTGTCTAACACATGAGCCACTGGGTTCAGAATAAATGCTCAATAAATGTCTATCACCTTCCTCACTTAGAAGCATCTGACGGGGCCTCCTGGGACAGCCTTCATGGCTGGTGGCAAATTCTAGGTTAGTACAAGGAGCTACTAGAATAATTTGTGAACTTGTTTCTTGGGGTCGTTTCAGCATCTACATCCCAAATTTGGAAGAGGATGCCGGGGCTTGAGAGAAAAGTCTTCAATCCATGCTTCGTTTTCTCAGTAAGTCTCTTCCATTTCACCTCCCATGTCGTCGCTCCGGGAGCCAAGCCTGTGAATAGCTATGCCCAGAGCATGAGGAGGTGGGAACTTTGCCCAGGTTGCCCTAAGGCTCTAGAGAGCCCATGGGCTTTAGAAAGTGCTCAGGGCTCATCAAAACCAGTGGCTTCCAACTGCAGGTGTGTTTCTGAGGAGGTGGAGAATGTCATACATCTCTGATTGAAAATATCAGGCAGGAGTGGTGGTTGACCCCTGTAATCCTAGCACTTTGGGAGGCCAAGGT